CCCCCCCCCCCCCCCCCCCCCCCTTTGACTGTACATAAAAACAGCTCAAGCAGCAATTTGACTTTGAGTAATGGAAGGGGGTTTGAATTTCCCCTTTGAGATACTGGAACCAGTTGGGAAACCACAACTATTTAAATGCAGGAAATCTTGATTTTATAAAATGTTAATATGATCGGCTCTGGGGACGAGTGAGCAGCAAGGCTCGGAGTGAGCCCCTTCTCCATTCAGCCTCAATCCTGCTCATCTGTTATATGAGGCTGAGAGAGAAGAGGTGGAGAGTGACAACAGAGTAAAAAAAAAAAAAAGATCTGCTTTGTTTACATGCAGTGGCTCTCTGTTCACCTGGAGCTGCATTGGAGAACATTTGAGTTTAACTGATGCACAAGAATTATCAGACAGCTTAATGTTAACTATTACTCTCTCTTTACTACCTACTCCTTTCCTTTCCCCATCCTTCTCACCTTTCATTTCTCAACATCTTTCAGCCTCCATCTCCACATGGCCACATGGTAACTTTAGAGGCCTGAGAAATTACGACTGCCTTCCTTCTCTGCTCAGCTTTCTCTCCCTCTGAACGGCTCTGATGTAAAAGAAATGAAATTCTTTTGGAGAAGAAATGAAGTCTCTACAGTGCGTTGGAATTTTATGACTGCATTTCTGTCTGCTCCAAAACTACTCTTTCTGATTTTAAGAGGGATGAAAAAGCACTGAATCTTTTGTACCTCCATAACTGGGCATCCAAATTCATTGTTTCACTGAGGCTGAACTCGATAAAAACTGGAAACTTAATAACTGAGGCTCAGATATAAAAACCCTCCTAAACAATGTAGGCTTAAAATGAGAATGTGTAGAAAAGAATGGAGAAAACATCTTTATAAATGGAGTAAACATGTCCAATATTTTCAAACCAACATCTTTTCCTCACTCAATACATGACTGGATTCAGCTCAGTATAACTAATATTTGTAGGTGGATTTTGCCCTTTGCCACTTGCTCACTGCTCTGAATGCCTGAGCTCTATAACTAAAAAGTTGTTTTAAAGCAGGGCCTGTATACTCTCAGGGATGCAGCTGAGTCAGCCTGGAAGCCACCTCCTCGTTTCTCCTCCTTTGACTAACACAGCGCTGCTCAGGAGCTCAACATTGAACAACTGTTCAGGACATTTTCTTAGTGCTTTAAAACATTCCTAATTCATTACACACTTTATTCTCTAAAGCCCCAACTCATTCATTCAACCTTTATTTAGACAGGTAAATCCCATTGAGCCTCGAGGACTCATTTACAAGAGAGACCTGATTTCAACAAAGAATGATGACAACAATGGACAACAGCGACAACAATAAACAGTTATAAAAAGTCATACAATTTTTTTATTTTTTATTTTTTTTTAACAAATAGGATGGCTAAAAAAAGTAAAAAAAAAAAAAAAAAAAAACAGCTAGATTCTAAGGTGAATGTAGAAAACTAAAAACAGGAACATGTCTGCATTGGTCCCTGCCAGGAGTCCAACAGATTCTTAAAGCCACTTAGAGAGGGAAGGTCGAGAGCTTCAAATCTTTTGTAAGATATTCCAGGAAACAGGAGCGGAGTAGGAGAAGACCCTTTTGCCTAGTTCAGTCCTCATTGAGGGAACACTGCAGGTAATAATGTCCTGAGAGCGCACGCTGTAGATGCACTCACACAGAGACATGAAGGAGGAGATGTATGAAGGCAGCAGACCAAGAAGTGATTTAAAGATGAACATGTACCAGTTATATATCTGCTTCTACTTTCTACTTGTAGTAGTTTCAATAATGGTTGCATGCTCAGAGTGTCATCTTTTTAGCATCATCCATGTGCCAATCTCATTAACCAATTCTGTTTACCACATTTCTCATAAGACAGTACACTGCAAAATAAATGAGGTTGTGAAAAACCATGTTTATTCACCAATGGGTATAACTACAAAGTCAAAGCCCCCAACAACTATTCAGTAGGCAGGGGGGTGAGATTAATCTGCACGAGAAGCTAGTTTGCACAACCCATGACCTTAAAAGCTTGGAGCTTCTCACTCCTCAGTTTTGAATTGAGAAAGTTCCCAGATGGGAAGGAAAACATTTTTAACTAGATAAAAGTCCAGACATTTTATTTTATTATTTTTTTGGACTGACAGCATTGTTGTTTTCTACATAAAGATAAGAGACTCAAATGTTCAAGCATCTTGTGAAATACTGGGACAAATTATGCGAGTGCATCATCTCTCCTAATAGTTTTTTCTCACCAACAGCAATGGGACAATGCCGTCTTTGTCCATGTGTATGCGTTTTTCTGCCATGTTAGCAAAATATCTCATTACCAATTGGGTGGGATTCATTGAAACTCCTAAGCACTAGATAAACACCGAGAGTGAATTAACTCCATTCAAGGTGGCTGCCACAGCTAAGTGACCTTATCATACAGAAATATTGTTATAACTGTAGCTTTGAGTTGGCCGTGGCTGAGTGGTTAGAGCAGTCTGAAATCTTAACTTCTCTGCAAAAGAACAAAACAAAACAAAAAAAAAAATGCTGATTAGTTAGCTTCATGGTCGCTAACAGGTGCGCTAAATAAACAAGCCCCGCTCCATTTACTGTTTGCTTAGTTTCTTGGAGGTGGACAAAGCTCAAAATTCTTCAGCCATTATAGCGGTTACCGGCAGTCACCTTCCCCTCCCAATACACTGGTAAGTACTGACATAAGCCAAAATTTCCCTACAGCCAGCCTCTACTCTTGAGTGCACATTTTATGAGATCTCACAATGTCATGAGATCCCACAGAATGTCATTTACAAGGTTTGACTAAAAGGTCACACTTCCATCCATTCTGATAGAAAGAGCATTTTAGTTTAAAACTCAGGCATGAAAGGCGGTGGGCAATATACATTTTTCCAGGGAATGCTAGCTCTTTAATTTGTGAGTGTATTAAAGTGTGTTGACATTTCTCTGCAGAGTATATTCTGTGACTGGTAAAAACAAACAAACAAAAAAAACATGTACAAAGACAAATTCAATTTTCTCTCATTTAATTTAGATGTGAAAGTGTTTTTTTTTTTTTTTTTAGACAAGAGGAAACAAACACTCACCGGTCCTCAGCAGCAGCTTCTGTAAGCACTGTAAGACTTGAGACACACACCTCTTGACCCTCTCTGAGTCACTGTCCAACTCTTCTCCCCACTTTACCAACCCCTCCTTATCCTAACTGTCCATCACTACATCGTCTCCCACCCCTCCCTCTTCCAAACACATCAGCTCCCTTCATTTTCACTGAAACTCAATATGTGGACAATCAACCAGAGACTTTAGCATTTTGTTCAGTGCAGAAATCACAGCTGCGGGGCCTCACTTGAAAGCTGGACATCTGCAGCACCTTCCAATGTCCTGACTCCACTGGGTCGGTGCACATAAACAGAGCGAACATCTGCGCTGCTGGTGGAAGGACTGTGGGAGTCCAGCACAGAATCAGAGAAATAAGTGAAGATAAGAAAACTCTGAGGAGGATGGAGAAGAAAAAAAAAAAGAAGAAGGAAAAGGACGAGGGAAGGTAACCTGACTCTAAGCCCTAAAACATGTCATTCAATGATTCCTATAAATAAACTGAAAATGTAATAGTAATACCAAAACACATGAGAATTTACAAATAAGCCAACAATCTGTAGTTACTTTGTCTCAAACTGTTTTATTCCTTAAATGTCCAACACTTCTAGAAATAATGTTATTCCAACAACGCACTGTTTGATTATCAGTGCTTTATATATTCTGATTGACACATTCTTGTGTCAATCATGAGTGAATGAATTATGGATTATGCTTTTCATATTTTCAGCAAATTATTTTATCCTAAAACAAGGTAGAAAAAAAAAAACAGTATGTGTCTGTTGCTATGTTACTTACGTTCATGTATTTACTCCAGAAAAAAAAAAAAAAGACCGTGGAGGAGAGTGCAAAAGAACTCAAGTTGGGATTCATCTTTCCTTTAAAGTGATTATCTGGACAGGGAGGCAGGGGATAGAAAAACAGTGGATGACTGATAGGAGGAAAAGTAGGACGTTCTGTCCCCCACTGAGGCCCTGCAGGCTCGGTAGCTGCAACAACCTGCCAAAGAATAACCTCATCTGGGGTTAAAAGCACCTGGCTATTCACACCAGAGCCGGCAAGATGACTTCCACAGCAGTCCGACCATGTATTACAAGTTTGGAGAGAATGTAGGGGTCTCTGTCATTCAGTAACAAGACACCCACCGAGGGACTCACAATGGCAGAGCGCCCAGCTTTAAATCTGTTTACTTCTTTTTCAGTGCAGGTGATGTTAAGCAGGAAGCTGTGAGAGCAATGTGTGGATTCTCTTCTCATCTTACATTTCTCATAACTCCTACCAAGCAGCAGATGACTACACATCCCAACACAACTGATGTAATGAAGTGAGACGTGCAACATGCAGCTGCTTAATAAATCATTGAGCCTTGCTTTCTCAGAGTTTGGCAAAAGAGCGCAGACAAAAGAAACAGTTTGTTTAGGTGACGCTGAGTGTGCCTCTCTCTACCTGCAGGACGTCTCCCAGGTCGGCCGTACTGATCTCAGGGTCCTCGGTGGTGTTGAAAGGGACAGGCATTATCCTGACAAAGGTGAGGACACGAGGTTCAGGGTACCTCCACAGCATCACCCCTGGGATCTCTTCTGTCTCACTGCAGAACACTACCTCATGGGGACCAGGCAGTCTCTGTGAACCTGAAAAAAATAATTAAAATATGTGGATATATGTCTAAATGGAACACATACACCATTTACAACAGATAAACAAGCAAAAAAAAAAAATCAAAGATTCAAAACATTAAAAAAAAAGAAAATATAAAAAGCTTATTTTGTCTCTGTGAACTCTGCTTGATATTTGTGAAGGAATAAATACACAAGCTGACATCTATACTGCTTCTATTATCTATAAGCTTTTTATGTGGAACAATTACTATATTTCGTTTAGAAAGTAAAGTGTTGTGTGTTGTCATCATTGCATGTTTCCATACAATGATGAAATTAGTTTAACCCATCACACCTGGGATACATGCAGGTGGAGCTGTGGGCAGCTATGTAAGCACCCAGGGAGCAATTAGGGATTAGATGTCTTGCTCAAGGACACCATGACATGTGGGCATGGCAGGGAGTTGAACCTATGACTTTCTGGTCCCAAATTGGCTGCCTTATCTCACTCCATCTCAAACTTGGCATAAAGACAAACTAATTATGTTTTTAGCTAAAATAAAAAAAAAGGATAAATCTCAGCAGCACGGTGGCGCAGCTGGTAAAGCTGCTGCCTCTCAGTGAGCAGGTTGCCCCAGTTCAAATCCCAGTCCAGGGACCTTTCTGGGTGGAGTTTGCATGTTCTCTCTGTGCATGCATGGGTTTTCTCCAGGTACAGTAGTCCATTACTTCTTCGCAATTTGTTTATATGGGACTAGTTCTATCGCAATTTTTCAATATAAGATTAGACATGACACACAATTGGCTGATTGATGGATGAGCCGCACGATCGGCACACATTTTTATTTAAAATAAATTATTTAGCACCTGCTGCACATTTGTGCAGCCCATACTGCAGGATAAACTTCTGCTGCAGCTGATTAGCTGTTTACCGTGAAGAGCGGATGAGTGGGCGTGGCCAAGAGCGCTTGCAGGTGGCAAAGAGCAGAGGAGGGAGGGAACTGAAATCATGACATTCTGTGCTCTTTTAGAGCTTTTAGAATTCAGACACATTGTTTAGAATATTGCAAGAATGTGGGAAGGGTCTAAAACGTCTTT